ATCAAGCGTCAGAAGACACGGAACCACAAGCTCAGTCGCTGCCCAACAACTACGCTGCAGGACGCCGAACTTCAGTGTCGGCCGAATCCATGCAACCGGACTCGGACTCAGGCAGTTGGAAGCCACCTAAACACTCCAAGACCCCCGAGCAGTACGAGAGACTCCGGCATGCAGTGGCCGGCAACTTTTTGTTCTCCAGTCTCGACGAAGAATCCTTCAATCTCGTGCTGGACGCGTTAGTGGAGAAGACCATTCCTGCGCCTAACATCAAAGTCATCACCCAAGGCGACGAAGGGGACTACTTCTACGTCATTGAATCGGGTGAATTTGATATCTACATCAACCCGAGCGGCGCGGTTGAAGCTGGGCCAGACGGCATGGGAAACAAGGTTGCGACCATTGGACCTGGAGGAAGCTTTGGTGAACTAGCCTTGATGTACAATGCTCCTCGAGCTGCCACCGTCGTGAGCTCGTCCAAGGGAGGCTTACTCTGGGCGTTGGATCGTGTCACATTCCGGCGAATTCTCATGAATAATGCGTTCCAGAAACGAGAAATGTACGAAGGATTCCTGGGTGAAGTGCCTTTGCTCTCATCTCTCAAGCCTTATGAGAGGGCCAAGATTGCCGACGCCTTGGAGACAGTCAAATACGAGCCGGGTCAAAACATCATCACCGAAGGAGAGCCAGGCGATGCCTTCTATCTGCTAGAGTCGGGACGCGCTGTTGCATACAAGCATGGAGTGGATCATCCTGTCAAAGAGTACGGTCGAGGCGACTTCTTTGGTGAGCTGGCCTTGCTGGACGACAAGCCTCGTGCCGCCAGTGTAGTGGCAAAGGGCAATGTCACGGTGGCGAAGCTTGGAAGAGACGGATTCAAACGACTACTTGGGCCTGTAGAGAGTATCATGAGACGTGAGGAATATGAGAATGCAGAGGAAATGGACCCTCTCACTCAACAGAAAACGGTGACTTAGTGCGGGATCGACAGGGAGTAGTGAGCAATTGATTGCTGGACCGAGTGATTCGACAAGTCCAGATGCAGAAATTCAGTCTCAAGCAGACAACCCAGTGAGGGACTCCAAAACTGAGATGGGTTTGAACATGGGCAATGCCAAATGGGTATTCGGGTGTCTGCAGGGATTTTGGTTTGTGTCGATTGAGGCTGAAGTGAGGGATTCGAAGGCATGAAGGAAACAATGGCATACCAAGGGCGGCCATCAGCTAATGAACATGACTTATATCTGCATTCTGCAACCACTTGTCTTTCTCCTCGACCCTTCTAGTCGATTTATCCCTGCTGATTGCTCAAGGAGCACTTCCATGCATGAGTATGTGAACTTGAAGTCAGCGACTCGCCGAGCAGTGAGGACGAGTGGTCGGGTGAGGAGTTGGTGGCACGTGCGGCACGTGGGAGGGGAAGAGAGCGAGCTATGTACCTAGCGAGGCTAGCCTACGTCAGCATCTCGGCAGAATTTCCTCAGTCGGTTTGCGTCTGACACCCGCCTCTCCACTGACTTCCCTGCCTTTTCCGATGACCATCACAGCACCTCGTCAAGGCACTTATTAATAGCTACATAATATCTGTAAGATCGGATCAGGCTGACATCTCCTAGGATTCTTTAAATGCTCCTTCCTATCCTCATCTCACTTCCCTTTCCTTTCTTTCTTTCTTTCTTTCTTTTTCAGTCTTGTTGACACAATGGAAGATCTGGCAATGCTCCGTCTCCGTCGGCACCGTGTCCGGCCGTAAATGCCATGCACGCGCCCCTGAACTCGAGGCAATGTTGCGATTACTGATCGTATATCACCGTGCGTGATTGGCCTGAGCAGGCCGTCACTCAAAGCAGCGGCTTGGCTTGCTCCAATGACTGGAGCACATTGGAGGTTTGGTGACGTCCTTTGACGCCTTTCTCTTGCTGTTTGGATTCATTTTATTCAGCTGGCGCCCTTCTTCCTGGAAGAGCGACATCGCCATCTCTGCACCGCCTCCCCTTGGCCCGAGGTATCCCCTTTCCCAGGTAGCCGACGTTCACTAACCAAATAACTCTGCTTTTTCTGAATTCGAGTGCTTCAGTTTTGCCCGTTTCTCAATCCGCGCCGGCCGGATTGGTCTGAGGAAAGGAACTCGTATGTTCACAAATCCTGTCGGGGTGGCTCCTTGCAAAGGTTGTTGAACAAGTTTCCCAAGCGATGACGTGACATCGAGGTGGATCAAACAAGTTCTATTTAGAAACAGCAGCGGCCTGTTTTAAGCGTGAGTGCCCGTCCTTCTTCCAACGCGGACGGTCAGTGAACTTCAGAGCACTCTTTTTGAAAGCGCCTCCAACCATCCCGGACACCTTTGGGCAATATATCCTGCAAAAACTCAACTCCCACACTCCCCTGTGCTCAAAGCTCACGCGTTCCTCCATGGCAGGCAAAGACAAGGACGATCCCACCGCCGAGACGGAGAAGATGGCGGAATTTGACTCGGACAGTTCCTCCGCCCGCTCGCTACCAGTGCCGATTGCCACGCCTCAGCCGGACCTCGAGAAGATAGCGAGCAAGGCTTCACAGCGAACCTCCAAGAGTGTACGCTCAAACCATGTCCCCACGACGGCGCAGGACTGGGATGGGGAGGACGATCCAGACAATCCGCTGAATTGGCCCCTGCCTGTCAAAATCTACCATACCTTGGTCCCGGCACTGCAGTGCTTCACAATGTACGCGGGGTGATGATCCCGAATCTCTTTCAGGGAGGCTAATGTGTAATAGTACTTTTGGCTCCTCGGTGTACACTCCCAGTGAGCATGACCCATTCTCAAAATCGGATGGCTTCCCTCGCTGACACTCTTGTAGGCGTTCCAGAGGTTGCTCGCTACTTTGGCGTCAGCCCCACAGCCGCCATCGTCCCTTTGAGTGTCTATGTGATGGGTCTCGGATTCGGCCCAGTCCTCAGTGCCCCTCTCTCGGAAACCTATGGACGCCGCGCAGTATACTTGTGTTTCTTTCCGCCCTCTCTTCTCTTGTCTGTTGGAGCCGGATTCTCAAAATCGTATGCTTCTTTCGTCATCTGTCGCCTCTTTGCAGGCCTTCTAGGCTCGGGCTGTCTGGCCGTCGGAGCTGGGACCAATTCCGATCTCTTCTCACATCTTCACCGGGCAGTTGCCAGTGCGGTATTTTTGATGGCGCCATTTTTGGGTCCTGCTTTGGGTGTGTCGCCACTAGAAAAGCCCTTGACCGTGTCGAGTGGCCCGTTTGCTAACGTTTTTGGCACATGTAGGACCTACGTTGGGTGGTTTTGCCACTATGAAGAGGGGCTGGCGCTGGTCACAATGGCTGATTCTTTTCTGGGGCGCCATTGCCTACGCTGTCTCCCTCCCTCAGAGAGAAACGTACAAGAAAATCATCCTGAAAAAGCGAGCGGAGAAGCTTGGTCTCCCGCCTCCTCCGAACCCGCTGCCCCCGGGGATGTCGAAACTCCGATTCATTCTGGTGGTCACTATTCTAAGACCTCTGAGGATGTTGTTCACTGAGTCCATCGTCGCCTTCTTCAGCACCTACACTGCCTTCAACTTTAGTGTCCTATTCGGATTCTTTGCCGCCTTTCCCGTCGTGTTCCAGTCCCCCTATCCCGAGATTCAGATCTACCACTTCAATACCGGTGAATCAGGGCTGGTCTTCTTGGGCATTGGCTTGGGCGTCATCTCAGCAACCTTTATTTTCATCTTCATCGATCGCTTGACCTACCGGAAGAAAACGCTCAAGAGGCGATCGCAGGGGGATTTCACACCGTTACCCCCGGAAGAGAGACTTTGGGCTGCCATGTTTGGCTCATTTCTCTTACCGATCGGACTGTTCTGGTTCGCATGGACGGCCAGGAAAGAAATACATTGGATCTCGCCAATTGTCGCCACAATCCCGTTTGGAATTGGAAACATGCTGGTTTTCTGCTCTTGCGTCTTGTATCTCATCGACACCTACGGCCCCTTGACCGGCGCGAGCGCCGCTGCAGCAAATGGATTTTTGAGATATGTCATTGGTGCGGTGTTTCCGCTATTTACGGTTCAGATGTGAGTGACGGGCCCGTCAGCTATTGTTTCCAGCTCGGTATCGACATTTACTAACAGGAGCAGGTATCGCGGTATGGGCGTGGCTTGGGCGACCAGTCTATTGGGGTTTGTCACAGTCGCTATGTTGCCTATTCCTTGGGTCCTGTACAAATACGGTCCTAAGATCCGACAGCGGAGTGCGTACACGTTGGCGTCGTGAGTTGCCCTTCTACCCTCGACTGACGAGAGGCGGAACGCTGTCTTGGGAATCTTCTTGCCCATGGGCTTGCTTTACGTGTTGAAGGGACGAAGTCGGGTGTCACTGTCGCCATCCGAGAGTGACAGGAAATGTCTACTGACAGTCATTTGGGACCCATCCCGGAGCTGACATGTGGTATGAGAGAATTGTGACCGACCATCACATCAGAGCCAAGTCCCTCCTTGGTCGAGCGGCAAGCCTTGCGCCTCGTTCAAATTGAGATGTACGAATGCGGATTGTATATATGGATACGAATAGACATAGAAGTTACAAGTAGATAATCATAAACTAGGGACCTGTCACCGGTAAACATCTCGTGGAGCTGAGCAGTGCGGAGCAAAGCCAGCACTTCCAACTCAACTGAAGACAACTCAACTGGAGGAGTATGAATACCCTTGAGATCCACCTCATATAAAGCACCGAGGTGTCCTGGTCCAGATATTTCTCCTCCGGCCCCAAGGCCTCGACTCCAAGCTTCGAGAACGGAGCACGTAGGTGGGTGGTCGGGTAGGTAGGCGAAGCCGCCACAAGTGGGTTTTGGAGTTTGGGTAACCGCTGATGTACCTGTACATGGATATATCATATATCGATGTATGGATCCCATGTAGCCGTGGATATACTGTACCTGCACACATATGGTCATACAATCAAAGTGACTAGCCTACTTCCTAGGAAGCGTTTCCTCAACTTTTACAACGTTTGACACCGTTTTACAACTTCTGCGGCGGCGGTGCCACCGTCGGAGAAAGGGAACTCCCTGCCGCTCCCACTCCCGCGCCCACGACCTTCTCGCCGTCCTTCCCGTCAGCGCCGTCCAAGCCTTGCCCTTGCTGAAGACCTCGATATACCTTGCGGTGCAGCTCGAGGAAGATGAATATGCAGATCGTGTGTCTGTGCATAGCATAAAGGTGGAGTGTTAGTGGATTTGTTGACTGGTGGAAAAGGAAATGAATGGAAAAGGAAGGCAAGAATGGGGATAGAAGGGGGTCGGTCGGGTCAAATCCGCGAGTGAGTGAACGAGCGAACAAGGGAGAGTGTGAGTGAGAGAGACTTACGGTCCAAGGCGGAGGAAACTAGGAAGCCAGCCCTTGAACATCCATCGCGGGCCCTCGTTCCGGGACACGGTCTTGATAATCTCCACAATGCCCTGCTGCTGCTTGCCCGTCGCCGACATGACTCTCGTCTTGATCACGTCGATGGGGCTCGTCACGGTCGCGGCTGTGATGCCCGCCAGGAAAGACGCCGTCAGCTGTGTAGGCAGCGTGTCGTCGCCCAGCGGCGTGTACTGGCGCAGCAGACGCTTCGCGACGTCGTAGCTGGCCAGCTGGCTTGCCGTCTGCACCGCCGCGCGGCTGCTGTTGGGCACCCAGCCACGGAACCAGCCTCGGAGGCCCTCCTCGCGTGCCATGCGCACCATGCCATCGACGGCGTGCTTGTAGTTGCGCCGCGCGTGCGCGGGAAGCGCCGAGTCGTGCTGCATCCGCACGTTGAGCACGTCGGCGAAGTTGCCCGCCACGCCGCCTGCGAACCCGGAGACCGACGCCATGACCACGAGCAACGGGAAGCTGGGGTTGCTGCCCGCCCGCTGTTTCATCTCTTCGTACAGGCCGAACCGCACCGTCGCGTACGTCAGTTGACGGAGCAGCGATGCCGAGATTCCGCTGTAGAAGCCCAGGATCCCCTCGGTCTGGAAGATCCGGACCACTGTACCTCTCATCGTCTTGGATGCGCCGGTGCCGAGGGTTTGAGCCTGCGTCTGGAGCCGGACCTTTTTGAATATGTCGTCAATGCCATGTTTCCCCTATCTCATGTTTGTGCCTGCGTACCTTGACTGGGAGCAGGATGTTAGCTGATGGGCATATAGTTCTGGCTCAACCCAAGCAAACGCAGTTTTAAGACTCACCCAGATCCAACGGGTGCGTAACACACGCTGCCATGCTGCTTGCGCTCCCTCCGAACCAGAATGGGTACCTAATATTGGTGTTCATCTGCCTCTGACCCTGCCCCTGCTTCTTCTCCGACGACGATGTTGACGATGTTGACGACGTCGGCATAAGGAGGGCAGGGCTCGATTTCTTTATAGAGACGCTCATATCGGCTCAGCGACGCCGGTCCAGGATGCTCTCGAGGTTGAACGAACTATCTGTAAAGGAGAGAAATCGCCCGGAGCAGACGCATTGCAGGGGGACGCTTTCTCTTTTCTCAGGATCTCTCTGGGAAAATAGGTGTGGTAGTGGTAGCAGCAGCGGTAGTAGTGGTAACGCGGCCCCCCTATTGCGAAATCTCAGCTAGAGGGTAGCAAGGACATCCGTCGACTGAGAAACACGGTCAGCAGGGAAAACAAAAGGATACGAATCGCTCGATGTCATATCATCCTAATCATCGCTTTTCACCTGGCGACTTGCCCTTTATTGTAGTGTATGGAGCGAGATCCTCTGGCGCAAGGCTTTGGCAAAGGCGCGTCGACCTACCAGTAAGCAGTCCTGCTCCAGACAGCAGCCCTAGCCTCCTCCGACCCCTCTCTCCAGCACCATGTCCGGTTCTCCTATTCGCGCACCGGCCGGAGAAGGAAGGGGGGCGTACGTCTGCGCGGAATCTCCATCTTTCGTTCTTGCCTCGCCGTTCAGGTTTCAGTTCTCCGTCCCGTAGGTATTCCCCGAGGTCTTCTCGAGTAGGCCCTGCCAGCCCTGTCTGCGTACTGCATGCACTAGGCCGAGATAGGGGGGTGTTGCTCGGTTGGGATTGGGATTACAAGTCGTAGTCAGTCGGCGTTCTTTGGTTAGCTTGTCGATTGGTCTTGTAGGGAAATGTCATTTCAATTCATTTCGGACCCTCCTCTCCTTGTACTCTGTATGTATGTATATCTCGGGATCTAGATACGGCATTGTTTGGCGAAAGAATTTGACGTCGATGGATTGTTATTTGGTTGGTTGGGGTCTATCCGTGTGTTTGATCTCCTGACGATTAAATCCCGGCACCAGGATCCTGAATCGATAAACTTGCTCGCTGGTGACTACTCCTGCAAGTAGCTAGCTAGCAAGCCTAGTTAATATGGGGGCGTCTGTGGGTCGCCGAAGCGAATGATATACAACCAACAAAATAGCTAGATATGTTACACCTTTGCTCCATAGTCGGTAGATAGACTTTCCGCACAGCCGCAAGCCAAGGTCAATCATCAGGTTCGCTAGACTCGATCAAGAATCCCTTAGGTCAGTCTCGACCACATTTATCGGCCAGCCCTACGCGCATACGAACACGAGGTGCGTAGTGGGCGAAAATCCACTACGGCAGTCGGCTCTGGCGCAAATTGCACATGCTCTGTACTGGTACTGTGAGACCAGCAAAGCACAGTATGTGTGGACTATAGTACGTGTGTACCGTGCCTACGGAAGGAGTCTACGACGGCTGGGTGGTGACTTCAAAGTCACCTCTGATGCTCGGCCCCTTGGGGCCCCTCCGGTGGTATCCTTTGCATTTTCTATAAACAAACTGCAACCCACCAGCTATGCCGCAGAGATTGGACAATAATCTCGTCCAGAACTTTTTCTATCGTACAAAACACACCCACAATGCTCGACTCTTGTTCGCGGCCGGGGCTCTACTTAACCCAACCCTTGGGCCCAGCCCAAGTACCCTTGACCATGGATTTGTAGTAGACCCAGGGGAAGAAATCCTTCTTCAGATGGTAGAACGCCCGGCGAGGGGTTGCCTGGTCCACGCCCAACAAGCGCCCGAACGTCTCGTGTGGCTCTCCGCCGTACTTGAACTCGGCGAGCATGACTTTGCCGTACTCGGTCAAAAGCGGGCACGACGTATATCCGTTGTACGACGCGGTGGGCTCCTTGCCTTCAAGGGATTGCATCAGATTCTCAACCAGAACGGGCGCTTGAGCGGTAATCGCTGCGGCGGTCTTCGAGGTAGGTAGACTCGAAGCATCGCCCACCGACCAGACGTTGGCATACTTTGTGTGACGTGTGGTAGTCTCGTCCACGTCGACGAAACCAGCTTCGTTGGCAAGGTCACTCTTCTTGACGAATTCGTGGGGTCCCATCTTCGGCACGACGTGCAATAAGTCAAAGTGCATCTTGACCTGATCTTTCTTATCGAGACGAGCAAAAGTCGCCGTGTTGCCCTCGACCGCGATGAGGTCGTGCTGAAACAGCCCTTCGACACCTCTCTCTATCCGCAACTCGTTGAGCTTGGCGCTGTACTTGGGCACCCCAAACATGCCGGGGAGAGCAGTGGCGAAGTTGATTTGAACCGGTGATTTCTCGCGGTTGCTGATGTCGTATAAGCCTGCCCGCTTCCAGTAGTCCAGTGCGAGCCACATGATTTTCTGCGGAGCCCCGGCGCACTTGACGACGCCAGCAGGCTGGGTGAAAATTGCGGTGCCCTTTCGAAGGCTTGTAACGGTATGGAACACCTTGTCGCAAGTGTTGTAGCCATAGATGGATGAGACTAGAGAGTTTGGATCGGCAAGAGCTTCAGGCAAGCCCTTGATGGAGTCGAAGTTGACTTTAATGCCCGGCACAACGACAAGTTGCTCATAGTTGAGGCTGTCGCCATTGTTGAGCATGAGCAAGTTCTCCTTGGGTGAGAAGGTGGTCACCCCCTCGTTGTAAAACTTGAGTTTGGGATCAATTAAGGACTCCAGCGGCTTTCGCAGCTCTTCCTTGGTTTTAAGACCGCCACCCACCAGTGTCCATCCAGGCTGGTAGTGGTGCCACTGGGCCGGGTCGACGACAGCAATGTCGTTTCTGGCAAACTTGCCCGTCCGGAGGAGTTGATGGCTGACAGCGAGACCAGCGCTTCCTCCACCAACTACCACGACCTTGTGATTCCGAGTTGCCGGACTCACTGAGGAGACTGTCGCCAAATTTCTGCTTGATGGGACAATCTGTGCCGTGAGGACCGAGAGTCCATTGCTACAGGCCTTGGACGTTACTCTGGAGCGAAACATGGCCATGGCGGAACTGCGGCGGGATCCTGATGGGGGGTGATGAGAAGAGAAAAACAAGACAAAAGCCGTGAAAGAGTTTTGCAAAGTCAGCGAGGCAGAAATATCAATCATGTGACGGGATTTTCGGGGTCAGCGTCAGGTAATATACTTTGGATTTCCATCGGAAGAGTGGCCCCGTTTGTGCCCTGCGGGCCCAACGGCCGGAAGGATCCTCGAGCTAATCGCCGACATGATTCATATCTGATCACCGGGGTGGTTCGATCAGCCATTTGCCACGCGGTTGGCCTTGGAAAAGACATGCGAGGCTCAAGACGTTCAGGGGCAAATACGGCGCAATACGTCAAGGAGTCGCCGTGACCGGGTTTGATAGCCGTGTAATGACAGGGGTGCCAAGGCCGATAGAATGACAGCGATGTGGAGTGTTAAGCGCTCTCACGCTAGTAAATTTTATGGATTAGTGCGAATTGTCGGCGTGTGGATCCCCTTCGTCATCTTCTTCCTCTTTGGGGACTATCAGCCCGACTTCAAATACTATACCTAGACGTCCTCGCACCAGCCTTTTCATTGTCGGCAAAACCACAGCAGTCCCCAAAAGATACCATGATGCAGTCGCTCCGACCTCACATCACCAGCAGCTCCCAGGTCACCAGGAGGTTGCTGTTGACACCAACCGCCGCGACCCCGGCTTCAACCTTTGTCAATTCCAGCAGGCAACTTCGCCTTTCATCCCACCAGGCGGAGCACAAGGCTACATACACCACCCGGGTGTCTTTGGGAAATGGATCCGTCCGCAACGCTCTCCCGAGAAGAGCACCTGTGTGTGGACCTTCTGGCCATCAACCTGCACGACAGACTCAGTGGGCTGTCAAGAGTCGAGCTTTGTACAGTACCGAAGCCGCGGTGGCCCCGGAACCCATTGTTCACGATATCTTTGAGACCAAAACAGGCACATGGCAGTACGTGGTCGCGGATCCGTCCACGCTGACTGCTGTCATTATCGACCCTGTCTTGGATTATGATCCAGCTACCCAGGTAGTTACTACTCAGAGCGCCGATGCTTTGATTTCGTTGGTCAAGGAAAAGGGCTATACCGTCGACATGATTCTCGAAACACATGCCCATGCGGACCATTTGACCGCAGCGTCATATCTCCAGAACCACCTAGCGCAAGAGCAAGATCAAATTCCCATTATCGGCATCGGGAAGCGCATCGGCGGTGTGCAGAAATTGTTTGCCGAGCGATACGGAGTCCCCGCCGACGAATACGAGGGCATATTTGACAGACTATTTGAGGACGACGAGACATTTGACATTGGGGAACTGAAGGCAACGGCAATCCACCTTCCTGGTCACACTCCCGACCATCTTGGTTACAAGATCGGAGGTGAGTCCTCACATCGAGCCCCGCCAGTTTGCCTTTCTCGGTCCGGCTGACATAGATTTCCAGATAACGTATTTTGCGGCGACTCCATTTTCCATGCGGACATAGGCACCGCACGCTGCGATTTCCCTGGTGGCAGCGCTAGAGATCTTTTCAAGTCGGGACGAAAGCTCCTTGCCTTGCCAGATCACGTAAAAATCTGGACGGGCCATGACTATCCGCCGGCCGGCCGCGATGATCCCGTACCATGGATGAGCGTAGAGCAGCACAGGCAACGGAACAAACACTTGAAGGACGGCACTACCGAGGAGGAGTTTGTGACTCGCCGGAACGAACGGGACGCCGGGTTGGCAGAGCCCAGGCTAATGCACCAGTCCTTGCAAATGAATATCCGGGCAGGCAGGCTTCCTAAGGCGACGCAGCAAGGGTTTCGGATGCTTCATCTTCCCCTAAAGCCAAAGACTTTGGAGTGGTGATGTGGCTGGACTGTTGCACGCGGAAATTCTGTCCATATTTCCACTTTTTTTTTGTCGATATTGATGGAGTTTCCATCACCGCTCCTTCCAAATGTTTGGAGGATCAGTCTTCTTCCTGCCCTCAACGGTAGGAGTGAGATCATGGTCACCAGTGGAAAGACGCAGATCTGCAAGGCCCATCGGTGCTACGACCATGTAACAACTAGGATTTTAATCTCAATTAATTTAAAACTCCATTTGCCTTCAGGGCTACGGAACAATGACCAGCTTTGGGCCCCGCAGGAGTCTCATCTTTACAAGCAACGAAAAAGAGCTCTGAGACTCACTGACGTCGCCATGCATATTTTGACGAAATGTCGGTGGAACCAGTGTCGATGGCCGAAGAGCGGTGCGACCTCGCTGTATTTAGGCCACGCCCATGCGTGCCATGATACCCCCAGAATAACAATCACTAGGCCTCTACGCCTCAGGCAGCGTCATCCGATATTTAATGACACCAAAGTGCTTGAAAAACAAGAGGTCTGTCACTGGCAAGTTTAGCGTGTCATGGTGGGTGTTTTCAGACAAGCCAGAGCAACCATGGTGCCTGGACTGATATCATTTAGATCCCGGACATCCGTGAAAGAGTCCTTTAGCTTCCTGCAATTATGAGCGCTAGCTAGCAAAACCCTGGAACAAGGCGTGCAAATCATGTGGAGCCGTCAACTACTAGGTAAGCATTCCTGGTCATCTCGTATCTGACTCCCTTTTCAATCCTTCGCAGCCTGCTATGGAAACCAACAATGCGGCGAGCATAATTTCTCTGTGTGAATTTGATAGTGGTTCAGAGACTGAACAAGCCGATCTTTCGAGCCGAAGTCCCAGGGGACAAGTGGTGGAAATGGAACCATCGTCACACCACAGTGGTGGCTCCTTATCATGGAGAGGGAGAAAAGCCAAGAAAAGATTCCCGAGTTCCCATTGAAAATAGTCGATCTAAATTCTCATGGTCCCCGATGATATTCGCTGGAGTGGGAATCTTGCATGAGAAGATTCTGGCAGGTCCCCGAGGCCAGGCCCAATCTCCAATCTCCCGGAGTTGAGCCGTCTCTTGCCCAAACGGGTGCGATTCTGCTGTTTCGCCTGCGGAACTACTTCCGCCATCGACCTATCCCTTGAAACCTCCAAAGTTTGGTATACTCAGGGCGTTCTTGGACTCTTGGGGCTCGAAAAACGACGTCAAAATCATCAGATATACACCGAAAAGACGAAAAATAGTTCAACGACGTCTATAGAAGCCTCGTCATGCGTTATCCGTGCATTAAATACCCATCTCTAGCTAAACGCAGCGAATCTGTTGGCCAGATCACTGTCGCTAGAGCCGCTAGTGCTCGTTAGCGCGGATCACGCCATACCTCCTGGTCGATCCCCCTTTCTGCCTGTAGCCTTGTTAAATGCCAGTTCTTTCTGCTGGGAACGGGGTCCATGGCCCATTTCCTAATGTCTGTTGACCAGTGCCTAGTAGACTAGAAGGGCGGTAGCAATGGCGCTCCCAAACATCGAAGCCACTGTAACAAAAGAACTCAGCCCCATCGCAGACATGCCGCTGATCCCGTGCCCGCTCGTGCATCCGCCGGCTAGCCTGGCCCCGAATATCACGGCAAAGCCGCCCACGAGGGCAGAGAGGAGGGAAACATCTCCAGCCGAGGAGACGGCCAGCGCTTCGAGTGTCGCGGGCACAAGGTGCATCGTCAGTCGTGCGCCGGCGACCAATCCCGCCACGAAGACGATGCTCTCCAGGCCGGGCGTCGCTTTGCCCTCCGCCAACCACCAGAACAGTTTGCCGAAATCTTCATACGCAGAGCTCACGCCGACTGGCTTCTTCGTCAGCGCCACCGAGGATGCTTGGCCCAGGCCGATCAGCAGCCCGCCCGTGACGGGATGGAGCAAGTAGTGGTGGCCGCGCGGCGTGTACAGGGTGACCAGGGCAATGATGGCCAGCATTGCAACCTCGTATGTCAATACCGTCGCTTTCGTCGACCACCCCGTAGCCTCCATCAGCGTGCTACTGTTCTTGCCACTCGGCGGCGTCGTCGTTGACTGGGATATCCGCCCCTCCTTCCACTTGACGAACGCGATCCCAGCGACCAACCCGCCGAAGATCAACAGCCTGCTCCGGCCCACCTCTGCCGCGGCCTGCACGAGCATCGTCCCGGGACACGCGCCCGTGAGCGCCATGCCGACACCCAGCAGGGCTCCTCCAATCACGTTCCCGTCATATCTCCCGAACCAGCCAAACGTGCTGCCCGGTTTCACAGACAGTTTCTTGTTATTGGTGGCGTGTTGTCTGGAATTGTGCAGTGCAATGACTATCGCGCTGGACGCCGACGCAGTCAGGAATGTAAGCAGCATGTGGAAGTCCGCGAGTCGGAATTGGTCTTTGATTGTGCGTGGAGAGGCGACGCTGGAGAGCGTCAGGGCGGACCCGAAGATGAGGCCTGAGGCTAGCGAGGTGGCGAGGGTGGTCATTGTGGGTGACTTGTTTGTTGTTTGTCGAGGACAAGGATGAGGATATGGATGAATATGACGGATTTACCTTTGTGCTTGCACGTTCAGGAATTTGCGAGATGATGGAGAAATGGATATACCTCGCAACAGCAAGATACGACGACGATATTTCTCGATGGGATCGGGTTCTTCTTGAGCGTTTTCATCCCCGCTAGCCACTTAGGATGGTGGCATATGTATAATAATACTCCATAGCGGGGATCACAGGCCATTTTTTTCCCTCTACAAACCCGATTGCCGCAGCATTCCCACCTCTGCCTTGCCAACTGCCAGCCAAGTTTCCTTCGAAATAGCAATAGGAACGGACCTCTTTTCCCCTTTACTCGGCTCTCGGTGGGGTACGCGGCCAGCAAGAGGCCTGGTTGAGGATCGGGGACTGCACAGGTATTGCCTGGAATTGGTCCCCGACGGTGGAGAATCAAGGAGGAAACCAGTTCTCGGACTCGGGAGGTGAGGTTGGAGCGTTCTGTTGTTGACGAGCAGATGTATGAAATATTCATTTTCTTTTCCTTTCCTTTTGTTTACTTTCTTCTGAGCGTGCTACCCTGAAGTGTTTGAGATGCCATTTCCTCGATAACTGGATCACTGGTCTTTCAACATTTCAAAGACTGTAGTGTAATAACCAACGAACAAGCGGGAAGAAAGCATGATTTTTGATAACGTCTATGAATCCCACCCAGTGAAAGCAATGAGAGTAACAGAAATGAGTTGGAGAGCCTGTATCGCCCTTTAATTGCTAGTGTCCATTGTCGATCAATCACCCATTCTTGCGCAGCGAACAGCGGCGGACACGGCTTGGCCAAGATCGATATGGAAGAAGGGCCGGTCAAGGCCAAAAACCGGTCGGAGCGGCGCAGCTTTCTTGAGTGCTGCTCTGCCATCTTCCCCCAGTGACCGAACCCGTTGCTCGCACTTCAGGATCACTTCAAGGTTGTCTTCGTTGTTTTCGGCGGACTTCACTCTTTCTACTTTGCTCTCGCAATCTGTCTTCGCCAGTTGCTCCTTCCTTTTGGCCTCAGCGCAGGCGTCTTCAGGCACTGCCCCAGCGAAGGAGCTCGTGAGAGAGTATACCGGGGTCCAGTTACCTAGTGCGAACTGGCTTCTTTTCGCAGGATAGCCGAATCCTGCCGTGGCAAGCGCTCGTCGAGACCATCGGTTCCACAGCGCCGCGAAGTGCCAATCAACCAAGGACGGGGCCGCATGGCGGTCCAAGGCATTCCTTGCGTCGATCAATCCTTGGACACCCGTGATATCGATATTGTTCACTGATGAGCAGTCGAGAACGATGGCTCGCAGGATCGGTAAACTTGTGTCTATATTTTGCGATGCTCTTGATTCGCACCACAGCAGTTGGTGGGATTTCACATTCTCCTCTTTCGTCGTGCGCCGAGTGTGCTTTAGAATATAGTCGGTGAGATTATTCAGGTGCAATGTTTTATTGAGGTAGTTGAAGCCCTCGGGAAAGCGATACACAAACACTCCTGGATAAGGTGACTGAACTACTACCTCCGGGTTAGAAGCGTCCTTCCGGTCCATGGGGATATAGGCGTCTCGAACTTCTATCTCAGACTGATTCTGTTGAGGTCTCTCGTTTTGTGTGCCGCCGTCAGCGCCGAGATCGACCGCGACCTGCCAAATTGGGACCCGTCCAAGGAATTGTCCGTTTGTGCGAGCGATTCGAACGAGTAGGAGGAATAACGAGAGACCGATCGTGGTATAGATGGATGTTTCCAGCCCGGTAAATATGGCAACGACGACCCCAACGATCCAGATCAGGAATTCGAAGGGAGAAATTCGCCAATACCTGTAACATGTTTTTGGAGACGCCACCAAGTTCAGCACAGCGTGAATTATTAGGCCAGCGAGCGCCGCTCTGGGGATGTAGTAAAAGACGGCCGTCAACGCATAGAGTGCTAGGAGGAGAATGAGGGCGCTGAAAAGGCCGGCAAGCGGAGTCTTGACCCCAGCTTTGGCGAGCACGGCAGAGGCACCGAAGGATCCAGTACAGGCATAGCCACCCAGGAAAGGACCCAACAAATTTGCCGTGCCTTGAGCCATGATCTCCTGGGATGGGATCACCTGGTAGCCAAATTGCTTGCCAAAATTCTTTGCAATCGCAATATGCTCGATCACCAGGATGACCATCATAATGGGAGTCTGTGGAATCACAAGTCGGACTAGCTCGGCATCGAGCCTAGGGACTCCTGCGTGTTTGAAACCTAGCCACTCAGTCAAAATCTCCGAAGAAATCGAGCCTTCCGCGACATACCTGACTGTATCTTCCCCACGATCCGAAACTCACTCTCGCCCTTTGGCAATCCGCGATTCACCAGCCAGCTAACGAAGGTATAAAACAACATGGCAAATGACAGTCGCAAGCACGAAATCGTTGCCCACAAGCGTTGGCGTGAAGGTTGGCGAACCTCCATTTTTGCACAAATTCTCTTTATCAAGTCCAGCAGTATGAGACAAGAAATGCCAATGGCAGCATCGAGCTGAGTATTTCCAAGATTTCGCAGCGAGTTGATAATTACCTTGTACGGCTCTTCTCGTGTATTGATTCCAGGAATGCCCATCATGACGGGAAATTGAGTCGACATGATCGTTATGCTGGCAGCTGTGATAAATGCAGAAATCGGGATGTATGGTATGACTTCGACTACCCATCCGAGCCGTAGCAGGCCAATTGCCAGGAGCATCGCCCCAGTTATGAATGATAGTGTTTTTGCAATCTCTTCATTGGTGTAAACTCCTGGGTGCGAATCCTGTATACTAGTAATCACATTGCCAACGAGGAGTGAACCGACGGCGGTTGTCTGGGACGTATGTGAGAAATGGCACAAGAATCACTTTCGGCTGCTACATACACCAATGACGATATCTTTGGAAGTACCAAACAGCCAGTAGGTTGCGGCCCCCGCGAAGGACGTGTACAAGCCAAAGTCCGGGCTTAACGTGGCGAGCAGGGCATATGCCATTGCTTGGGGCACAACCACCAGGCCGACTGTAAGTCCTGCTATGGAGTCTGCCAATAACCATCGCCAGTTGTAGCGAGGTACCCAGCCGATGGAAGGGAAGAGGCTGTGAAGATATTGGTACGAGCCTTCTTTCGTAGGCACGAGCGATGCAAGCCATTCGGATGCGGATGGTTCATGTTCGAGGTAGTAGTTGGGAATCGCCTTTGTCGTCTTTTCTGTAAGTTCTTCCAACCGGTTCCTGGCGTTTTGCTGTGACTTGTCAACCAGTATCGCCTGAGAAAGTTTGTGCAGACGAGAAGATAACTTCATCTTTGTGGTCGTGCGAAGAGTAAACAAACACTATCCAGCCGGTTCGATCGACCTGTTCTTTGTCTCAGCCGTGCTCAACGCGCCCACCTGTCTCTTTTAGTATCAAAGTTTTGCACACAGTAGAGTCCATCGAACACAAGGCTTCCCTCCACCCAGCACCGGAAGGGCGGTCGGTGTCTGCGGGTCGGTAGTCATGCCATTTTCCTTGGCTGTCGGGGAGTGCGATATGGCAATGCGCATGGTTTTCCCCATTTCTGGAAGGGCAGCTTCAAACCCATTCGGTCTAGAGTGTGTTGATCCCCGACCTTGTTCCTCTTGTCTCAGAGAAAAGGTTGGTTAGAGGCATTCCTGGGTGGATACGATCGGATGTCGTCAAAAGACAAGACCGGCTGTCGGCGAATCATGAGATTTCCATGGAATCATCTTGAAATGACAGTGGCGATGTCCCTCTTCGTGGCCACTGGGAGCAAAACTTTCTCCATCGTCGACCGGGTGTCGCGAACTCGGCAGTCGGGGGACAGATGGCACTCGGCTGCCCCAAGATCCATCATTCTGGAATCTTGGACATCCCTCGGTGCTCGTGTAGACCCAGGAGGTAGTTGGGTGGAAGAGCCATGATACGCAAGGAACGAGAAGATTGAGTCGCGGCTTAAGCGGAATCCTAGCGAAAAAGAGTGCGTCTCCACGTGACCTCCAACTACCATCATGTCTATGCTTCCTCCTGGCTGTCCTCCTTCGCATCGCCTACAAGCCCTAGGAGAATAGCTGGTACCGTACAACACTCTACATATTGTTCCAAACGTGTCCCATCAAGCGGTTCGCCACATCCCTGACATAACTGCCCGTCGCGCCCATCCCGTCATTGAGATCATTCACGTTGACCCTCCCCGAATTGTACTCTCTCAACGCCGCGTACCAGTTTCCCTGATGGTGGAAACACTGCTTCAGTCCATCTCCGGACTTGGTCCCCTCAACTCCATCCCTGACCATCTGCAATATACTCTGCGCGGCATGCTGAGGATTGAACTCCGCGCCGTTGTGAGATTGCATTATCCCCGGGTTTCGAACTCTACCGTCTGGCGAGACCGTGGTGCGGACACGTACATTCCCACCGGACTCCTGCATTATGGTGCAGAGGACGACGCGGACGTCGACTCGGGATTCGCGAGCGATTGTTTCGATAGCTGTCTTGATGTCGGCGATTTCGGCATCGGAGTCATGATAATTCATTAACTTGGAGTTGCTGTTCCAGAGCGCAGAATATGAGGCCCACTGCGAAGTGTGTGGGAAGCTTGAGGCGGGTCCACTGTAATTGGCATAGCCGCCGCCTCCATTCCCACCGCCGCTGCCACCTGGGAGACTTGCGGCGAGTTGCTGAGTCATGACTTGCTCGCCTCCCGAGAAGGGGCCAGGACCCTTGATGACTTCGTTGATAGAAATTTCGGAGGAAATACCTGGATTGTCGGGCCGAAGATCTTGAACAGATATGCCGAGGATACGCGCGACGCCGCTGAGGTTGAACACCAGTCCCAATGTTTTGATCGGCAAGTTGATAACTTGTCCGACTTCAGGGTCATTGGCCTCGACGTCAGGGTTGGCAGCCAGCACGGCATTGAGATCGAAACCCCCACGAGAGGCAATACCACTGAATGTGTCACCCCTTTGGATTTTGTA